AAATGGAGAAAACTTGGAACAGTGGTGAACCTTCCCAGGAGTGGTGGGCTTACCAAAATTACTCCAAGAGCACAACGACGACTCATCTAGGAGGTCATAAAAGAACCCAGAACAACATCTAAAGAACTGCAGGCCTCACTTGCCTCAATTAAGGTCAGTGTTCATGAATCAACAATAAGAAAGAGACTGGGCAAAAACGGCATCCATGGGAGAGGTCCAAGGCAAAAGCCATTGCTGACCAAAAAGAACACAAAGGCTCGTCTCTCATTTGCCAAAAAATATCTTGATTATCCCCAAGACTTTTGGGCAAATGTTCTGTGGGCTGATGCGACAAAAGTTTAACTTTTTGGACCTCCATGACACTTGACTCTGCAGTCTACCCTACCTAAGGATTAATTACATACTGTAAACTTATGTACTGTATTGGTACTCAATGTTTTATTTTAATATATGACTATCTACATATTCAAAGAAAAGTTCACTACCATTATCTAGCTTTTACTGAAAATTAGCTCGTGTTGCAATCTCTCTGATGACATGCTTGATTTTGACTGAACGGTTCGGTCGGCCCATCTCGGGACCAGGCGGCTGGCCGTTGCCGACTGGGCCAAATGCTTAACATTTATTATTAACATTATTATTATTATTATAACCATAGAGAAATCGTGCAAGCGATAAAAACCTGTCCTATGCAAAATTGGCTCGTAAAAACAATTTTATTTATATATAGAAAAAATCTGACTGGCCCACATTAAACAAAATGGTCCGGCCCCTCTGGCATTTGCCAGAATTGCCAGATGGCCAATCCACCCCTGGTTAGTACGCAGCCATAACCATAGTCATAATCATAGTCTTTTAAAACAGAAAACTTCCATAGACAAAGAAACATCTGCTTTTGTCCCATGAGCTCTGATTCTAGTTTTGTAAATATTTTCCTTCCTCTTTGGTGTTTATTTATTTATTTATTAGGGATCCATATAACCTCTTTAAATTTATTGCACAAATATGTATCACAGACTCTTCATTTTGGTTGTAATAAAATCACTAACCAAAAACTCTTATAACAATACATGGTGTAGCAAATATAAGTGAGCATAAATAGGCAATTACATTCAAACTGTATTGCTGAATTTCTGTAACACTTTATAATGGGAACTACATTCAGTAACTTTCATTAAAAAAAAACTAAAAAAAATCTCGATATAACATAAATATTACAAATTCACATTACAGTATACTGTCATAAAGATATGAGGATTACAGATGATATGATGGGTTTTAATCTCAATCATTTAGTGTCAGTGACCTCTGGTGGAGAACAATGGTT